CAGGCCCGGATGGAGAAACACTTCGTCAAAGGTCCGAGGTGCCCCGGATGGAAGCGTGGATTCTGACAAAGCGCTAGGTCGCGCTCCTCGTTGTCTAGCAACTAGAACTGGCCTCTGCCGCCATTGGCCGAGACTTGTGGGCGGAGTTTATATCGTAGTTGTTAGCGTGTGGCGCATCCTCAGAGGCCGACCCAGGAAGAGGAGATGTAGCGTGTTGAAGGCCCTGGAGCTCGGCTCTGTGAAGGGAAGGCGAGGTCAAGTCGAGGGCGGAGCCTGATCTATGACTGACATCTAAGTGACCGAGGTTCTGGAGGCGGAACTGGCTAGTCACTTCCCAGTGGAGACCGGGGGCGGGGCCTTGTCTGGAGGCGGGGCCTGAGCCCGGGGGTGGGAGTGAGTGAAGTTACGGCCCGAGCGCGCGCCGTTGGTTGGGCATGTGGAGAGGCGGGTACTGATGACGCCGTTGGTTGGTGCGCGGCTGGAGGGCGTGGCCCTGGCGGCGCCGTTGGTTGGTGGGCAGCGGCGGGCCATGGCCCTGCTGTTGTGCCTGGGGATGGCCACAGCGCTGGCCCAAGGCTGCCTGCACTGCAACGGCAACTTCTCGGAGAAGTTCTCCTTCTACCGCCACCACGTGAACCTCAAGTCTTGGTGGGTGGGTGACATCCCTGTGTCTGGGGCGCTGCTCACCGAGTGGAGTCAGGACACGATGAAGGAACTACACTTGGCCATCCCAGCGGAGATCAGTGAGTGCAGAACCCTTCCCCGGGGTCGGCCCCACCCACATACCTCGAGAACCCCCGCCCCAGGCCCGCTTACCTGCCCCCGAAAACCCCCTTCGCAGCCCGGGAGAAGCTGGACCAAGTAGCCCAAGCCGTGTACCTGAGGATGGACCAGCTGTACCAGGGGAAAATGTACTTCCCAGGTGAGGAGTGGGGAAATCGAGGCAAGTCCTATCCACATTGACCACCTCCTAAGCCTGACCTCCCCGCTCTGCCTCTCACATTAGGGTATTTTCCCAATGAGCTGCGAGCCATTTTCCGGGACCAAGTGCACCTCATCCAGAATGCCATCATCGAAAGTGAGCACAGGAAGGCTCGAGGAAGGGGTGATGATGCCAGGGACGCGAATTCCTCCAGAACTGAGGACTTATGGGGATGAGGACTTGGGAGTCCCAGTCACCCAGGGAAAAGTGAGACTGAGGCAGCTTCCCAGGTGGGATCTTTTTCATCATATGGTCACCAGGGTAAATGTCACCCCCCAGCATTTTTTTTTTTTTTGCCAATCCTGGGCTTGAACTCAGGACCTGGTCGCTGTCCCTTGAGCTTCTTTGTGCTCAAGGCTAGCACTCTACCACTTGAGCCACAGCCAATTCCGGCTATTTCCAAGTAGTTTATTGGAGATAATAGTCTCACAGACTTTCCTGCCTTGGCTGGCTTCAAACTGCGATCCTGAGTAGCTAGAATTACAAGCATGAGTCACCAGCACCTTTTAAAATTAGTCCCTCAAATGTGCTAATAAGAGCACTGAAATCATTCTCCCTTGAGGTGTTTTTTCCCCCCTATCATACTCTGGGGGCCATTCAAGGGCCCCTTTCTTCTGGGCTATGGACACACATGAAACCCGTATATGACTCTGCCCCAGGTGGCGCAAGGACAGGCACTGAGCTATTCTTTGCCCCCACAGGCCGCATCGATTGTCAGCGTCATTGTGGTAAGTGGGTTCAGGCTGAGGGGCCCGGCAACAGGGCGTCCAAGTTGGAAGGCCTAGGGGGAGCTCTTGGCTAACTCTCCTGTATTACAGGCATCTTCCAATATCAGACCATCTCCTGCACCAATTGCACAGACTCACATGTCGTCTGCTTTGGCTACAACTGCGAGTAGGGCTCAGCTGTTAGCCCCACCTATGGAGGACCCTACTATCTGTGGGGTCCCAGGTTTATCACCTCCTGGGTAGGGTGGGGCCTGGGGCTGGGGGAGTACCCTACCTCCAAGTCCTATGTCCCCCACAGGTCATCAGCACAGTGGGAATCAGCTGTAAAGGGTCTTCTGAGTTACTTGTGAGTTGATGGGTTTTGGTTGCCCACAGGCCTAGGCTCAAGGAGGGGGACACTGATCAAAGTTACTATAGGACTCCCTAACTCCAAACTCATTTTCATTGCAGAAATAATTGGCACAAGTAAGTCCCTCTCCTCGAATGCAACATCAGTTTTTCAGAGGCAGTGTGGGTATGTGAGTACCTTTGGGGGTGATATGCAGAGGGTGGCTCCCAGGACCTACACAGGGGCCACCAGGAGGCAGAATGTCACCCATCTGAGCCCATAAAGGAGGGGGCTGGGACCACTCAGTTCTCAACTCCCTTGAGAGTTTCTTGAGCTCAGTTGGAGGAGGGAGACAGATCATCCTAGCTGAAGGGTCCCCATAGTCTGGTGGCAGAGCCCCAGAAGTGATACCTAAGGGCCATGGATATAGCTGCAGCCCCAGAATAGAAAATAAGGTTTAACTGGAGCCCTATCCTATCTTTCAGCCAGAATACCAGTGTGAGGTAAGGCTGGGCCCTCTGCAAGGGAAGAACGGGGAGGGAGGAGGGAAGAACTGAGTGCTCTGGGGTCCTCTGGGTCCATGGGGGTGCTGGATGGGTAGACACCATAAGCAGGACTCTGTGCCTGGATGTGCTGGACCTCTGCTGTACAGCCACACTCATGTGGTCTTCCTCATCGCCTCACCTGGGATGTGCAGAACCACCCCAGCCTTGTGAGTGTTCCTGAAGGGGAGGCTAGAGGGAGGCTGGAGGGAAGCAGTGGACTCTGGAGGTGGGAATGTCCTAAACTAGAAATCCAAACCCCACAGTGAGTTTTCCACAAAGCACTCTTATGTCCTAATACGGCCCATCATATGTGTATCAGGGACAGTGGGTGGACCCTCCGGGGACTCTTTTGGGGACCCAGGAACAGGCTAAGAGGAGGCACAGGGCTCCCAGCAGAGATAAAGGAAGGAGGCAACAGCAGGCAAGGAAGGACTGAGGGCACTTTGTCCCGCACAGCCTGACATCACCAAGCTTCACTTGTCTGGAGCCCCAGCAATTGGCCAACCTGACTTTGGAAAATGTCTCTGAATGTCTGACCCAGCACTGACAAGGACCTGCCTCAGGCTACAACAGGGGTCAGGACTCAGCTCAGCTACCCCAGACTGGGAACAAGCTGGCTGCCATATTGAATTTCCCCCTCTATTCTTGGGGAGCTCAGCCTGGGTTGTGGGTTGTGGGAGGGAGATGGGTTTGTGTATTGATAGCATTGGCCCCAGGCAGGGCCATAGAACAGTTTGATGGGGCCATTAAAGCATCCTAATTTCTTATTGAAGACTGTTTTTTTTTCCCCCTTTCTCATGTCAGTATTAACGGTTGAACACAGGACCTTGAGCACTATCCCTTAGCTTTTTCATTCAAGGATGGGCATTCTATCTCAAGTCACAGCTCTACTTCTAGCTTTCTGGCAGTTAATTTTAAGTAATTGTTCTCATGGATGTCTCTGCCTAGGCTGGCTTTGAACTGTGATCCTCAAATCTCAGCCTCCAGAGTAGTTAGGATTACAGGCATGAGCCACTCATGCACTACTGAAGAACAGCTTTTGTTGGTTCAGGAGAAAGAAACTGGGAGGCTTGAAGATCTCACTTGAGTGCAGTAGGTAGGCTCAGGCCTCTGACCCACAAATAGGACTTGATGAAGCCCAGTAAGCCCTACTTAGGGTTCCAGGATCATGACACACCTGAGCATGTCTAAGTGGTTTTTTTTTGGGGGGGAGGCGAAGGAAATAAGTGGGTTCTTTCAATGACACAATGACTGTTGCGTGAAAGCCAGGCTAGTTTTAGCGCATTTTAGTTTTGTCATTTAAGTGGGACCCAGGATCTATGGATCCGGTCACAAGATACACCTAGCAGTCCAAGAGCAGAGCTAGCTGCCTGGGCTCGGTGCTTGCTGACACAAGAAGGAAAGGTAAGGGCTTATTGCTACCTCTGTGTGGGAGCAATACACAGAATACCTCTGTGGGCTTCCTTTCAGGGTAGATACCCTTGACACAATATTGGGAGGTCAGAGCCACAAAAAATAGGTTAACAGGCTGGGTACTGGTGGCTCACGCTTATAATCCTAGCTACTCAGGGAGCTGAGATCTGAGGACAGAGGTTCAAAGCCAGTCTAGGCAAGAAAGTCTGTGAGACTCTTATCTCCAAGTAAATCACCAGAAAAACAAGTGGAGCTGTGGCACACAGGCCTGGAGTTCAAGCCCCTTAACAGACTAAAACAAAACAAAAAGGCTAACAATAATGGGGATGTTGAGAATAGTAGTGATGGTGGTGAGTGGACTCTACCCCAGGTGGATGGTCATCAAGTACACCATCAATGCTCATTTAGCAAGGGCTGCCTTAGATATTGAGAATGGAAAAAGGCTGATGGGTAATCTTTTGGGACAGCTTCATGTCTGAGAAAGGGCACTGGTGCACAATAGGGTAGGGCAGCCCTGGCACTCTAGGGTCAGTGCTCTACCCCTCCCATTGAGCCTGGTCAGCCATGGCAGCATCTGGGTATCAAGTTTGACTTGACACATTCTTTTCCTCTGAGCATGACTTTGTCCCCTGTCTATACTTGCCATAAGGCCAGTAGAACTGTGGCTACTTAACACAGAGGCAAGGCTAGTCACTCTCCTGCTGGCCTTTTTAGCTCCAGATTCCTCGCCTCACTGCCCCACAGCAATGGCTTTCCCATGGCAGGGAGGATGGTAATGTGTACAGGTGGGGGTCAGGGGCTTGCTCACCCATGTACCACCTAAGCCCCAGGAGCCTGTAGGGCCAAGTGGGGGACTGACACAAACAGGTGAGGGTACTCACTGGTACTAGCAGGACAGTTACCTCGTGAATGTCTGCTTTGCAATTTTATTGATCATCTTGACACAAAAATCATTACAGCAGCGTGATATGTCTTTTTTATATGGGAATGTCGATAGCAAATAAATTGTTATGTAACACATCATACAATCTCAAAGTTCTAGAATCACGGCACGGGATTCTGTAATAGATTACGCTACATGCTACAGTGACAGTTTCATCAAAGGACAGTTAAAATGTCATGGAGAACTGTCACCTGAGGGAGGTACAGCACGTGACCAGGCTGCCTGGCTATGCAGAGGAGCCACCTAGGGTCTCCACTCTGCTCTGCCCAGAAGGCCGCCTTCCAGGAGACGTGGCCTAGGGGCAGCCCATTCATTCAACTGAGCAGGAATTAAAGGGCATCCAGGACACGTGTCCTCCACTATGAGCCACCCAGACATGGAGCTTCCAGTTCTACCAGGGCCCTCCAGACAGCCGTGGATATAATGTAGGGATAAGCCTTGTGGTATGTAGTGACAAGCAGATGGTCATGAAACTGCATGCCACTGCCACCACCTCTCACCCCCAAGGAGACCAGATACTGTCCCAACAAGAAAAAGGCCAGTCCATGGTATCAGTGGTTCTGTCCATGACCCGGCCTATGGCTTCAGTGCCTTGCTGTCAGCTCACAAGCAACGAAAACAGCAGGCAGTGGCAACAGGTCTTTTCTCCTTGCGAGTTTGGCAGAGTGAAGCATGGTGGTGGCTAGCTGTTCATCTCCCCAGAGCCAGTCAGGGTGTTTGGGGACAAAAGCAGCTGTCAGGCTTCCCTAGGTACAGGACATAGGAAGGTCAGCTCCACCCTTCCTATTGGAGGCAGGCTTTATCGGGGTACCCACTGGGCACTGACCCAGGAAGTCCCACCACCTGGTAAGTGGCCTGTGGCCACTGTAAGGAGCTCAGGCCCTAGTATACGGTGGCAAGCAGAACCAGGGAGCCCCTTGGTAGTTTGGGGACTGGGATAGGACTTCTTGCCAAAGGGACGTAGAGTCAAAAAAGGATAATAAATCAATGCAACATAGGGTCTCAAAAGTCACACAGTGGACAGTGGAGTTAAATTAATGCTTGGGTGTGAGGACAGTACACCACAAAAGAGAGGCAAGACATCAGATCTGGTGTCCATTGACCGGGTGTCCTCCACAGGCTGGGCTCCAGGCAGTACTCAGCATTGGGCTAGTGTGGCCTTCATCTCCTCCAGCAGGCTGCTGAGCAGTGTTGCATCACTGCACTTCCCATCCACCGACACCGAGTTCTCACCCTGAGAGGAGAAAGCTATGAGGAGACACTGCCTCTCTGTGTGGGAGGAATTAGAGGGCCTGTGCATGTTGGGTGAGAACTCTGCCATGGGGCTACACCCCCCTTGTACTGAAATTTATATTCTTTTTGTGCCAATCCTGGGGCTTGAACTGTGCTGTCCCTGAGCTTTTGTACTCAAGGATAGTGCTCTGCCATTCAAGCCACACCTCAACTTTGGCTTTTTGGCGGTTAATTGGAGTCTCAGAGACTTTTCTGCCTAGTGGGTTTGAAACTACATACAATCCTCAAATGTCAGCCTCCTGAGTAGCTAGGATTACAGGAATGAGCCTCCAGCACTCAGCAAAGCCCCTACTCTCAAGCAGGGAGCCTCTCAAGAAAGAGCCTCCTTGACAGAGAGATATATGGGGAAAACATTTCTCTCCAGTGCCAGTTGGACTGGGAAAAGCCTGACAGCTCCCTGGCATGGTGTTGTGGCCATGTCCTATACTCACCTTCTTTACCAGGAGGCAGACATGGTGGCCCTGGATGGACCGGCTGTACATAGAGGCGCAGGAGTCCACTCGCTCCACAACTGTAACAGAGCACCAGATGAGGTCCACCTACCTGCCTGCACGCACAAGGCCCCACCCAGGAGGTACCTCAGCCACAGTTCCAAGGGACAAGAAGAGCAGTAGGTGGCCGAGACAGGAGTCACTGCATTCTGTCAAGTCCTTGAGGTTCAGGACTGAACATACATGAGCTATTCTGGGTCAGGGTGGAGTCTGCAGTACAGGTGGGACCAGGCCCCATGAGGAAAACATGGGTAAATGCTACAAACTCTGAAACAGCCATGTTGTATCCTTACCTGAAAAATGGTGGTGAAAACAGATCTTTGCCAGAAGGTTGTGGAAAGACATACTAGTGCCATCGACTTTGATTGAGTTCATACACAGGTCCCCAGATTCTAGCAACTTGGCAAAGGCATCACTGTGGGAAGGATACAGGCAAGGTGATGACAGGTGTGTAGTCTGGGTGCTGGGGCTTCTATCCAGCAAGATACAAGATATAGATAACATCTGGCATCCTTGCTGCACTTGAGGCCTGGGAGATCTCCAGGGTGAGGAAGATGTTCTGGTTGAGCTCCGTCCTCTTCTAAAGAAAGCCACATGCTCAATGCTGGCACCCAATGACTGATAACTCAAGGTTTGACTGGAAATAGGGCATTTAGGGCAAAAGTGCATCATCGAGGTGGGGCCTGTTCCAATCTGACTAGTGTCTTAATAACAAGATGAGATCAAGACACACCCATACCCAGGTGCTGGTACTATAATCCTAGCTACTCTGGAGACTGAGATCTGAGGACTGTGGATCAGCCAGTCCTGTGAGACTCTTTATCTCCAATAAACTATTCAAAAAAGCTGGAAGTGGTGCTGTGGCTCAAGTGGTAGAGCAAGAGCCTTGAGCAAAAGAAGCTCAGGGGCAGCACCTAGGCCCAGAGTTCAAGCCCCAGGACCACCCCCCCCAAAAAAAGTGTCACACATGTACCTAAAAACAGTAGCATTGACGGGCGCCAGTGGCTCACAGGAACATCTGTGAGTCTCTTATCTCCAGTTAACCATTCAAAAACTGGTAGTGGTGCTATGGCTCAAATGGTAGAGCACTCACCTTGAACTGAAAAGCTGAGGGATACTGCCCAGGCCCAGAGTTCAAGCCCCATGACGGACAAAAAACAAAAAACAAAACAAAAAAAACAACGAAAAAGGGCTGGGAAGGTGGCTCAGTAGTAGAGTGCTTGCCTTGCATGCATGAGGCCCCGAGTTCGATTTCTCAGCATCACATAAGCAGAAAAAAAAAAGCCAGAAATGGCGCTGTGGCTCAAGTGGTAGAGTGCTAGCCTTGAGCTGAAGAGCTGAGGGACAGCGCCTAGGCCCCACAACCAGACCAAAAAAAAAAAAAAAAAAA